GGGGGGGGGGGTGAATAGACTGATTCAAATTTTTCAACTTTTCTCTAAGTCAGAGTTGACTTATCAGAGAGAGTCAAGTTCTGATGATCAGAACTGGTCTTGCAGCGGATAAGAGTTCCGGGTAGCCTCAACAAATGCTAAGGCAAATGCCTTTCTGACAACTCCGAGAGCAAGATCTGCTGAACACAGATTCCAAGTCTTAGAGTTAAACAGTTAGAATTCTATGTGCAGAAAATAAATGCAGTAAAGTAAATGACACCGGGGTTTTTATAGTGGTTCAAGGAACAACGCGTTCCTCTAGTCCACTGTTCCACTAGCTTTGAAATAAACAGTTACAAAGCGTAGTCCCTAGCACTTAAGAAGTTCTCCACGCCTTCTTCAAGTCTAGTTGTCACCCGGGATGCAGTCCTGCTTCCTGATGACTGGTCCTTTCACTCAGCTTCCCGGAAGTATCACCACTTCACTACTGCAGTTACTTGGACGCCCTTCTTTGCAGAAGTTGTTTTGAAAACAGAGTTTTCTCAAACTTGCTTCGTTACAAAAGATGTGTAGTTGAAGTACTTGAAGGTTTGAAGAACAGGACGAACTTTGCTATGTGTTGGGATTGGAGGATATGGATATTTGAATCTTCCCAACGTAAGCTTGTCTTGTTGATGATTATGGAGTTTGAATCTCAAGAGAGCTTTTTGTAGGTTAATGGTGAGCAAAAGTTATGCAGATGTTCTTCCTCGAGTATCTTTTATACTCGGGTTGTCTGCCCGTTGGAGGAGGAGACAACTGCATTAAAAGCGCGTACTGTTGACTTGACCCACTGATTTGGAAGCTTTCTATTTTTATAATATATCTTCCAGATTTCTCGGTCAATCATTTGCAATCAATCCACGGCGTATCAGGCTCATTTATTGTGTATTTAAGAGCTTTCCTTTCATGCACAATCTTCTAGCCGTTAGTTTCACAGCCGTTGGAAGTTGCTTTGAAATTCTTCTAAGTGTCAGTCGGATTCTGATCGGGCTCTTCTGATATGTTGGATTCTGATGGTTTTCTGATAAGTGATTCTGATAAAGCTTGGAGTCGAGCTCTGGTATCGGAACTCTGATGCTTTCATGTTGAGCAGTTCTGATGCAGTTGGGTTCTGATGAAGCTTAATATCGAACTCTGATGATTCTCTGATGAGCAACTCTCATATCTTCCCGAGAGCAACTCTGAAAGCAGTTCTCATAGAGCAGCTCTGATCAGATCCATTAGAGAGCAACTCTGATCGTCGACTACACTAATACTTACAACTGAAAATTCTAATACATAAAATCTAATTGGGGTACTTTAAAATTCTAATCTAATTATCCTAGCATCATCAAAATCTAATTACATTTATTCCTTACAAAATCTCTACATCTACATGTGCCAACACCACTGCCCCTTACGCATAATTGCTACTCCGTCAGTCTGTCGTTTGTTTGGTTTGCTGTTTGGTGTTTGATGTAGACTTTAACAAACTGAATGTTTAGTTGCAGTTTTAAGATTCACTATGTCCTTTGGCTTCGACCAAGCTCAGACAACTAATGCTTATTAATCATGTATTACTAAATCTAAAACATTTTTTTTTGCTATCAAGTAGAGCATTTATTGTGTGCTCATACATTTCCTAACATTAGTCCCCAACCACCCCACAATACCCCTGCCCAAAAACAGTGGGCCACCAATAAGTGAGAATTCATTGTTTATTGACTGCATATGTATCTTGCTTGTATTCTGCCTTTGTTAGTTGTTACAAATATGTATATCGCTTGTGTTTTGGCTTTCTTAGTAGTTCCAGATCAAAACCAACAGGTCACGTACCTGTTGGAGTGTTATTGCTTCGTCTGCAGTAAGTTGATGCAAAAAACGAGCTTGAGCACAAACCTAACCATGTTTTCCAATGCCACCTGTCTACGCCTTTGCTTAAAGGTTGGTTTTTCCTTGTAAGTTATTTATGCCATTCATTCCTTTTAGACTGTCTACGCCTTTACTTACGTACATTACTTCTCCCCTATTTTCATAACCAAGGCTGTTTCAGCCCAATTATTTCTTTTTACAAAAGTTTTTCCTTGATATTATTGAACTTCGTATAGTCCCCGCGAAGAGGTGCATTCCATGTTGATGTTTACTTGTTTCATAACTATGCCTATTCATACTCCTGTCATTATTTACTACCTTTATTGTTCAGCAAATTACAAAATATCTGTGGCATCATCTATTTGGCCATTTCACGCCTTTTACACACCTTCTGTAAAAGATTACTTCTTCACCTGTCAAGTTTAATGCTTTCTAAACTGCATTAATACTTCCACCTCTACAATACTGATGTTTAACATTTCCGTTACTTTACATTCCCCAGGTCCATTCATCAAACTTTCTGTTTCCCACAAAGACATTTTCTTTTGTTCTTCATCCCCAGAAATGTGTATTCTCTGCGTAAAAGGTATGCTGCCTCTTGTCTTTACGTACCAAATAACCGAGCTTGAATGTGTCCTTTTACATTCTTTTTCCAATGGCGTTCTTTATTCAACTCCCAGTTTTTTTTTAAACTTCACACTCACCTCATGCCAAACCAAACAAACCCTGAATCACCATTATACACTGGTCCACTATATTGTTGCTGCCACATGACCAGCATGAAGCATTACTGCTTCTCATTTTCAGCTACGATCTGGTGGCCGGACGGCGGCTCCGGTCAGGTATACCTGACAGGAACATTTGTGTGTGTGTGTATATATATATATATAAAAATATATATATAGAGTCCTTTTCGTGTCCAGCCGGCCTGACGGGAACCGCCGTCCGGCCGAGGGCATTTCGGGCACTTCCCGAAGAAAGTTTTTGATGAAATTTTTTGAGCATGGTCTTCATGAAGTCTAGTTTATCCATACCAAATTTCAGCTCAAAATTCGATCGGGAAGACATTCAAATAATTTTTTGAAGTTGACTGCGTCAAAGTATACATATAAAAACCCAGTCAACTTCACAAAATTATTTGAATGCCTTCCCGATCGAATTTTGAACTGAAATTTGGTATGGATAAAATAGATTTGATGAAGAACATGCCCAAAAAGTGTCATAAAAAACTTCCATCGGGAAGTGCCCGAAATTCCCTCGACCGGACGGCGGTTCCCGTCATGCCGGCTGAACACGAAAAGTTGTCTATATATATGTATATATATATATATATATATATATAAATATATGTATATATAGAGGAATGTTCATGTCAGGCCGGCCTGACGGGCTGCCCCGTCCGGCCGAGCCCGTTTGGGCACCTTCCCGGTGGAATTTTTTGATGAAATTTTTTGAGCATGTTCCTCGTCAAGTCTAGTTTGTCCATACCAAATTTCAGCTCAAAATTCAATCGGGAAGGTCGTCAAATGATTTTTGCAAGTTAACTGGTCCGGAATATGTATTTTCCGGACCAGTTAACTTGCAAAAATCATTTCACGACCTTCCCGATCGAATTTTGAGCTGAAATTTGGTATGGACAAACTAGACTTGACGAGGAACATGCTCAAAAAATTTCATCAAAAAATTCCACCGGGAAGGTGCCCAAACGGGCTCGGCCGGACGGGGCAGCCCGTCAGGCCGGCCTGACATGAAGAGCACTCTGTATATATATATATAGAATAAAGATCAAATGAGAACATTGCTTAACGTGAGAACGTGAGAACACCACTTTTTCCCCAACGTGTTGCACAATGAAGCTTGTATATTGCACATTTTCACATTTTAACAGTATTTACAAAAATGCCACCGTCTTTATTTATTATACTCTTATTTCGACCAAATTGAAAATGTGCAACAGAATAGCTCCATTGTGCACCACATTGATTTAAATGTGAGTGTTCTCACGTTCTCACGTTAAGCATCGTTCTCACTGGAACCGCACCCTATATATATATGTATGTATATATATAGGAGTTAGTCCAATTGTACTCCAGCAGTTTCTCATTCGAATAATACACTGAACTTCACTCTTACTTGCTCACTCGTCATCTTCTTCATTATTCTTGTACAAGACCCGACCTACATATAATTTTCTTTTTAAATTGGTTTTAGCTTATCAAAAAAGTGCTTAAACAATTTGGCTCCCACCATGAGACCTCGTGCAAGAGAAAATTCGAACATGGTAGGAACTAGAAAATCCTTGATGATGGAGTTCCATGAACAACTCGAAACAGCAAAAGAGGAAATCCATAGGGAGATGGCTCAACGAATCGCATTCATCGAGCGAGAAAATGATGTGTTGCGGTCTCGGGTCCAATCAGTAGCGTCCATAGCTTCCGATTCAAGGCTTAATTAGAGAAGCGATGCTATGACTAGAGCAACCAGGTTGGAGTCGGGCTTTGTCCCAGCTATGTCGGGACCGCTTGCCAACACCACAGAGGCCGTCTCCCTGACCTTAGTTCGCCATCAGCCATCTGAATCATTACATCATGTCTTGTCACCTTGGCCTTTCATGAAGTGGGGTATGGACATTGTCGGAAAGTTACCAGAAGCACCCGCCTAGAAGGTGTACATGTTGATAATGACATACTACTTCTCCAAATGGGTCGAGGCAGAGCCATTCCGTCAGATACGAGATGATCAAGTGATATCATTCATCAAGAGGAAAATCCTTTGCAAATTTGGCATCTCGTCAGAAATCGTTTGTGACAACGCATAACAATTCATCAGCTCCAAAACAAGACGATTTTGTAAAAAAAACATCAAACTTGAAACGTCAACTCCAAGATACCCATAGTCAAATGATCAGGCCGAGTCTAGAAACAAGATCATTGTGTCCAACCTAAAGATAAGATTGGAGAGAGCACATGGAAAATGGGTCGATGTGTAATGCCCCACCCGGACCGGCCCAGCTGATCCGGACGGCGCATCACTTTGCGGAAAAACCGAAACACATTTGTTTGAAGATCCAAGTGATGCGCCGTCCGGATCAGCTGGGCCGGTCCGGGTGGGGCATTACACGATGAGTTGCCATTAATCTTATGGGCAGATCGAATGACACCTAAAAATGCTACTAGACAGACCCATTTCTCCATGGTCTATGGTTGTGAGGCGGTCATTCTGGTTGAAGTTGAGATCCCAACGTCGAGATATGGACTTGTCACTGAGGAGAGAAACAACATGGAGCTTATTCACGACTTAGACACAATGTTCCGAGAACGGGCCAAGATTAGAATGCAGACATATCAACAAACGGTGGCCAAAAGTTACAACAACAACGTCCGAGCAAAAGTATTCAAGAAAGGCGAGTGGATTCTTAGAAGTGCATTTGGAAACGAAGCAAGTGGCAAATTAGTTAGTCCAAATTGGGAAGGACCATACAAGATCATCAAAGTCGTCGGACAGGGGGCATATCCACTTGAATCGATAGACGGTAAACAAGTTCCTAGGAGTTGGAATTGAAAGTGGTACACCTAAAACTCTTTCATTTTTAATCACTTCACTTTTTTTAATCACTTCCCTATATTTGAACTTATCAAATGATTATTTACTAACTTAAGCATCGGAGGGTTGTTGGCTGATTACCGCTTTCGCGGCATTGTAGTAAAACAGAGTTTAACCTTTTCGGATGGAAAAGTTTATCCCCGAGTATCGTGTCTCTGAGGAGTGGCGGAGGGAAGTATTGGTTTCAATATCGGTCACCAGTTAGTACGAGTCATTGTAAGCTTTCTCAAACGATTAGATTGTGATAATGATTAACCAAATAAAAATAAACAATAAAAGTAATAACTGCGAATTTAATTAAATGGCATTATTGAGTAAACTAAAACTAGTGAACATGCAAAATAAATTGAGAGTGAAATTTAACTAATTAAAATATTAAACTAGCAAAAATGTGGATGAGTAAAGTTTCGAAAATAAAATACTAAAAGGTCAATTCAATGTGACTAGTAACGATTAATTAACTAATTAAAAGTGGGGTTTAAATTTGGAATCAAGGTCTAGGGTGTCTTTGATTATGAACGAATAGGGAAAATTTTCATCAGTCTAAGGATAGTGATATATTAATTCTCATAGATAAGAAATTAATTTTAATCCCCTAATATGTCCTATTTCTAGGCTTAATTAGGGTGTGTGAGATTTGAGCTAAATAAATTCCAAAGTCATAGACAAGATAGAATTAACCTTCCAAAAATTCACAAGTGAAGCGATCAAATTCACAAATTACTCTTTCAATTTCATCTCAAACACTTAGTCCTAACAATTGGAGACTTTTCTCAAGAACACCCATTAACCTTAATTTAACCAAATCCAAACCCCATGGAAATTTAGCCTAACATCATTTTCAAGAAATTAACACAAATACTGAAAAACAGTGACATAATCCATGCATAAGAATTTAAACTGGAATTCGAAATTCAAAGATGAGAGCTGCCTTAAGAACTGAAGTCAAACATAAAGCTTTAAGAATCGAAATTTAAAGATGATAAAGAGTAAACCGAAATTGCTATTGACTATTGCTGAGTTTCTTCTCCTGTGTGCGTATTTCTTTCTCTGCTAGCTCCTTTATATGCCCTCTTGGATCTACATTTTTTGCTTTTTCTTTCAAGACCTCTTTTGCTCCTCTTCTGGAATTGCGACCTGCTCTATGCTACGGATGTGAATTGTAGCTGGGAAATAATATGTGGCTGAATGATTGCAGCTTATTTTCTGGAGTGTCTTCCCCTGTTTTTTTCTTTGGCTATTAAGTAGACAACCAGCTGCCCATCTCTTCTCTCTTGGGCCAAAGATAGGACTCCCCACCCTTCTCCTTTATTTTGTTGACTCCTTGTACTCCATTTATTTTTTTATTCTTGTTTGCCTTTCTTTTTTTGTCACGCAGCCTTGCTGCATTTTTTTTTTTGATTTCTCATTTTTTTTTTGTTTTCTTAACATCATTGGTTTATTGATAAAAAAAACATTGAAATATAATATGTATAAATTCTAAAATTTGATAAATCACAAAATACAAGTAACACAAATAAGTAAAAGAAAACCTCAAAAAAACAATCCAAACACTTCAATAAATCACAAATTACTAAAAAAACATAAACTTCAACACTAATTTCAAACATTAACAAAAATGTAACGAAAACGCAGAAAAATGTATCAATTTGCCCTGAGTTTAACAAGAAACGCTATAAAAAGTGAGTGAAAATATATGAACAAATCAGACTTATCAATCTCCTCACACTTAAGCGTTGCTTGCCCTCAAGCAACAAAACAACTCAAACGTATTTTCAAGGCAAACAGTTTATGGTGCACAAATCAAGGACTCAAGATCGCTTAGATTCAACCATCAATAGACTAAGATTCCAATCTACCTAACTATATTTTCATGAAAGCACAATAATAACTCAACTGTTATGACACAACGTACTAAATAAAAAAAAAACCTTTAATATTAGCATATATGCTACTAAGTATTTATGAGCACAAGTCAACATTCACATTCAGAAACCCTCAGTCATCCTTAACTAGTCATGGAATACAAACTAGCTCCAGTTCTAAAAACAGTTTTAGCTCCCCTAGCAGTTTTTTTTTTTGTTTTTTTTTTTGGAGAATGATCTTGGGGGAGCTATAAACAAAGCGAAGTTGGTATGAATTTTATGGTTAAACTAAATCATTGATTTGTGGGGCTATCTCATAAAATATATAAAATATACTCAACTCTCGCAGAATACGATAATGAGAAGAGCAGCGCCCCTTCTCGGAGATGAGACTCCCAACGAAGAAACTTCTCAAATCAATAATCTAGGAGAGATATTCTATCAAATGCTAAAAGCAGAGCCTCATTCGAGGATAGAATTCTCCCTAATCCAAAGAATTTAATAATTTTAAGCTAACCAAGGAGCATTGTATATATCCATGAAAAGAAAGTAAGACCGAATCATCCATTCAAATCAAAAACCAAAACTTGTGCACACAACTTCAAAGTAGAAATCAAGCATATCTCCTAATATTTAAAGTTTTTTTTTGTATAATGCTAATAAAAAATTAGTTATAAAAAAAACTTTCATAAAAAATAGTTAAAGTAGATTACACCATAACTTATTACTGATCTTAACTTAGTTCACCCGAGCCTCTTGTCATGCACACTAGATCAGTCCATTGCCTTGTTCTAAACCCTCCTCACACTTAGAGAATAGCAAATAAACACACGTGGAGAGTAAAAATTCATAGAGAAAAGTAAGAAGTACTCCCCTTGTGCTCAACATTGAAGAAGATTTGAAAGAGCAAGCACAAATGAAAATTTAATCCAATTGGGGAACTCCGGTGATTAACCTGAAAAAGCTAAAGCAAACAAAATATAATGATGAATTAAAACTAACACACAAACAAGGAAAAGAAAAGAAAATATTTTTTTTGGTTTTTTTAATGCAGTTTTTTTTTTAATTATTTTTTTTTTGTTTTTTTTTTTTGCAGATTTTTTTAAACCTCCTTTTTTAACACCTGGGTTGCCTCCCAAAAGCGCTTCTTTAACGTCACTAGCTTGACATTTTTTTTTTCACTTTTTCCTTGACTTTCCAACTCTCGGATCATACAGCTTGACCCTCAGGACTCTTCTTGTGTACCACCTCTGTTTCATAAAAAACTCACAAGCAAGAACAAAGGCCTGTGCATCTTTCTCATTTTCAGGTGGCAAAATAAAATAAGGAAAGTCGTCCTCATTCTCCAGATCCCCTTCAATCTGGACTGTTTTGAGCCATGTACTAGTTTCAAGCACATCAAGAAGAAAGTCAATGGACTCCTCCATGCTTGTTTCTTCCTCAACATGTGCATCTTCTTCATCAACTTCCACATCCAAAGTCTCCAACAATAGATCAAGGAGCTCCTCAATTTCATTCATCTTCTCAGAAGTTCTCTTTTTAAATTTTTCACAAGATGCAACTGTGATCATTTCGGATTCCTCCTCTCCGTGAGATGCTTCATCAAATTCAGCAAGACATAATGTCAGAATTTCTCCCTTTTCAACTTTACTTTTGCACAAAATGTCCCCCACTTCCACCTTCTCTGAAATTGGCTCAAAGATCTCTCCAGTTTCATTCTGTAGTTCCACTGAGCTTTGTTTTTCAGTGGAGGTCCATCTCTCATCTGTGAATTCTTCATCAATTATGGGTGTCTCCGTGCTAGTCTCCAAACCTTCCTGAACTGCCACAACATGATTCTGCTTGTTGACCCGACTTGGTCGTGAGTTGAGATTCTTCACTTGAGTTGCCAGGTTGTCAATTATTGTTGTGAGGGCTGAAATTTGATCGGTGCCTTGAAGTGTAGTCTTGGAAGAAGATTCTGTCTCGTAGTACCAGTTCTTAGCATTTGATACCACATTCTCCACGAGTGTTTCACTCTCTTTTGGTGTCATGTCGAGAAAAGAACCCACCTTTGAATAACAGTCCAACTCTTTTTTACTTACAACTTGAAGTCCATAGTAGAAATAGAACATCAAGTCATAAGCATCCATCAACTGTGTAGGACACTTTCTCCGTAAGACCTTGTATCGATCCCAAGCCTCACTAATTGTTTCCATCGGGGCTTGCTTAAAATTTTGAATTAATGTTCTGATGTGCGCAACCGCCGATGGAGGAAAATACTCATGCATGAATGCCCGGTGAAGAGCATTCCAGGTGGTGAAGTGACCTGGTGAAAAAGAATTCACCCACTGAATAGCCTTATCCCGAAGAGAGAATGGGAATAAGATAAGCTTCACGATGTCAATTGACACTTCATTGATCCGGAATGTGTTACAGATTCTGTTAAACCACAACATATGCACCATCGGATCTTCATGTTTCAAACCGCCAAATTGATTAATTGATATCACTTGTATGATATCAGGATTAATCTCAAAATCAGTGGCATCGATTGGCGGAATAATGATGCTATCATCCTCAGAAAAGTCCAAGGTTAAAGCATCAAGCACTGTTTGCCTCTCCCTCATCCTGGTGATTTTTTTTTATCAAACCCTCTCAATAATGTTCTTTCAGGCAGAGAGCAAATGATAGCAACTTGCCATGTTTGAAAGAGAGAGATTTTACAAATTGATCCTGCAAACTTGAGAAAACAACACAAAAAAAAAAACAGAAAATAAAGGAGAAAGTCTCACTAACTCGGGTTCGCCTATGCCAATAATAAAAACCAACTTACAACCGTGCCACTCCCCGGCAACGGCGCCATTTGATTACCGCTTTCGCGGCATTGTAGTAAAACGGAGTTTAACCTTTCCGGATGGAAAAGTTTATCCCCGAGTATCGTGTCTCTGAGGAGTGGCGGAGGGAAGTATTGGTTTCAATATCGGTCACCAGTTAGTACGAGTCATTGTAAGCTTTCTCAAACGATTAGATTGTGATAATGATTAACCAAATAAAAATAAACAATAAAAGTAATAACTGCGAATTTAATTAAATGGCATTATTGAGTAAACTAAAACTAGTGAACATGCAAAATAAATTGAGAGTGAAATTTAACTAATTAAAATATTAAACTAGCAAAAATGTGGATGAGTAAAGTTTCGAAAATAAAATACTAAAAGGTCAATTCAATGTGACTAGTAACGATTAATTAACTAATTAAAAGTGGGGTTTAAATTTGGAATCAAGGTCTTGGGTGTCTATGATTATGAACGAATAGGGAAAATTTTCATCAATCTAAGGATAGTGATATATTAATTCTCATAGATAAGAAATTAATTTTAATCCCCTAATATGTCCTATTTCTAGGCTTAATTAGGGTGTGTGAGATTTGAGCTAAATAAATTCCAAAGTCATAGACAAGATAGAATTAACCTTCCAAAAATTCACAAGTGAAGCGATCAAATTCACAAATTACTCTTTCAATTTCATCTCAAACACTTAGTCCTAACAATTGGAGACTTTTCTCAAGAACACCCATTAACCTTAATTTAACCAAATCCAAACCCCATGGAAATTTAGCCTAACATCATTTTCAAGAAATTAACACAAATACTGAAAAACAGTGACATAATCCATGCATAAGAATTTAAACTGGAATTCGAAATTCAAAGATGAGAGCTGCCTTAAGAACTGAAGTCAAACATAAAGCTTTAAGAATCGAAATTTAAAGATGATAAAGAGTAAACCGAAATTGCTATTGACTATTGCTGAGTTTCTTCTCCTGTGTGCGTATTTCTTTCTCTGCTAGCTCCTTTATATGCCCTCTTGGATCTACATTTTTTGCTTTTTCTTTCAAGACCTCTTTTGCTCCTCTTCTGGAATTGCGACCTGCTCTATGCTACGGATGTGAATTGTAGCTGGGAAATAATATGTGGCTGAATGATTGCAGCTTATTTTCTGGAGTGTCTTCCCCTGTTTTTTTCTTTGGCTATTAAGTAGACAACCAGCTGCCCATCTCTTCTCTCTTGGGCCAAAGATAGGACTCCCCACCCTTCTCCTTTATTTTGTTGACTCCTTGTACTCCATTTATTTTTTTATTCTTGTTTGCCTTTCTTTTTTTGTCACGCAGCCTTGCTGCATTTTTTTTTTGATTTCTCATTTTTTTTTTGTTTTCTTAACATCATTGGTTTATTGATAAAAAAAACATTGAAATATAATATGTATAAATTCTAAAATTTGATAAATCACAAAATACAAGTAACACAAATAAGTAAAAGAAAACCTCAAAAAAACAATCCAAACACTTCAATAAATCACAAATTACTAAAAAAACATAAACTTCAACACTAATTTCAAACATTAACAAAAATGTAACGAAAACGCAGAAAAATGTATCAATTTGCCCTGAGTTTAACAAGAAACGCTATAAAAAGTGAGTGAAAATATATGAACAAATCAAACTTATCATTGGCTCATAGCCAACGGCCAGCCTTGGCAAATCCATTTTACACAGGTACAATCAACAATTGACGTTGACGGAATCCTAGCATACATCAAACAAAGCCTTACAAAAACGTCAAAACACAATTGACGGGGGACTTACATAATTTTAGGGGAAGAAGTGGGGTTTTCATGTACGCTAAACATGAGTATAAACACCATTAATTCCTCGCAATGTTTTAACCAAAACTACAGAAATACACAATAGAAGCATATGCTCCAAGAGCATTACAATGAACAACTCTGAAACATAAGGAGACAATACGAACGACATTGACATAAATAATAAACATTGATGTCGACACTAATACTACAAATGAAATATTATTCAAAGTTTCATGCCACCCAACTCGTCATCTCTAACAGCGGACGAAGTTCCCTTTGCAAACCAAAGTGTCAACATCGTTGTGGACGAAGTTCCAATTCATTGTCATGTAGTCATCAACGCAAGGAAAAGAGATAAGATGTCATCTTTCATTCTTCATTATTTTAAGCAATCTTGACGGATTAGATCGGGAGTTACTAGAAAGAAAGACAGAATCATTTCGTCAAACGAGTTGATCGATATGTCGCGACAAGTCGTTGACGAGTCAATAGAAGCAATGAATTAATATGCGAAGTGTAAGCTCTTTCAAAGTTTCGATACATTGCCGCTTAACGGTCTGACCCGTATATCATACGCGTCAACTTCTCGAAAGGGGACATTTGTTAGAGCAGTAATTTGACGGTTTATGTGGCATTAAAGAGGGTTGACCGTACGAGTTAATGGGGCATTCACAAGGCTTAATCTTAATTATTGTAACGTTTTCTATGTATTATTAATTAGACTCTTTAATTTTGATTATGGAAGATATTAATAGTATTTGACCAACGTTTATGACAAATTCGAAATCATCATAACAGACGGCCAACCCGTCAGTAACGGACAAAACAGCCCCAAGAGTGTTAATTGTATCTCCTATTCTCCTATATATATGAGTTAGTCCAATTGTACTCCAACAGCTTCTCATTCGGATAATACACTCAACTTCACTCTTACTTGCTTACTCATCATCTTCTTCATTGTTATCGTACGAGACCCGACCTACATATAATTTTCTTTTCAAATTAGTTTTAGCTTATCAAAAAATTGCTTAAACAGCCCCTCCGTCGCTAACTCAGATTCTTCAGTCAAGGCGGCCAAGGTTGATGGCGAACCGAGGATCAAGACGAACCCTAGGTTGAAGACGGTGAAAGAAAGTTTGCAGTAAATAATTTATATTTAATGTCGTGAACATCACAAGAAGTCTAGTGATTTGTGACAAAAAGTGCAATAATGTAAAGTGCAATGACATGACAAGAACTGCATTAATAATGACATGAAAAAATATTTATAAAGTCCCCATTTTATGTAATGTTGTGCCATAACTTCACCATGAAGTGCATTAATTATATTCCGTATTTAATTAGATGTAAAAACCTAAAGTTATCAAATCTAAAAAATTAATTTATAACATCTAATTCATAACATTTAATTAGATGTAAAAACCATGCAGTGATCGTTGACATAAAGTGCAATAAATGTCGTGCAATAACTCCTTCATAAAGTGCAGTAATTTTACTCGGACGAAAGTACTGCAAAATGCACATTTTTTACATAAGGGTATTTTCGTCTCTCCACATTTTAATATAACGATTTTATTCTTTTTTTTTTATTTTTAGTCATATTCGAGGGAAAAAAACTAAGTTAGTCATATTTCGGTAAACAACTTAAATAGAGTTCTTCCTTAAATTTAGAACTCCATACATATTAGATTAGAATTCAATAAATCTACTGAAAGCATTGGAGTAAAATTTGGAGTTAATTAACTTATTATGGAATTATATAATCAGAATACAAGTAAAAATGAGATAGACATACAAAATTAAAGTAGCTTATTAGGGAGTTAATCATTCATATTTTAAAAGTATTCATGAGTAAATTTTTATTTGTCACCAAAGAATTGTCTAACTTAGAATCCATAATTTCTTAGGCATCTCCTTTGTGAGATCAACCTCAGCAAAAACCCTAGCACCCGAAGGTTTAGCTAAGGATGCAGTAGCAGCATCAAGTTTGAGGGGTTTACCTATTAATCATACAATATCAAATAGAGCATTCTTTTCAAATTGATGAATAGGCAAATTATATTTGTACACAAAAGTTGTACACAAGTTGTACATTGTGTGTGTTCACAGATAATTGATAGGTTTATTTTAAAAGAATTGTTTGTGTACACAAACAGATTGTGCACATCCCACTTTTTTGTGAATTACCAATGCAAACATTGTACAACTGGTGTACAAATTTTGTGTACAACTAGATTGGTCGTCATTTTTTATATATGCGCACATATATGCGTAGTATTATATTACTAGGTACTAATCTAGCCTATGAGCTCAATATTAATTGTCAAACGGTAAGTCTATAACAGTTGTTATACCGTGGGAGCAGCTCACAATTACCATGGTGCTTCCACTGCACTACCAAAACACGCGTGTATTGTTCACGCGTGAACAATAATTTTTGTTTGTTTATTCTTGTCCTAGTAGTAGAGTGATGTAACTTAATTGTGTGTAAAGAAATGTAACTCACGTAAGAAATGTAACAACAGGCATATCAAAATGTAATTTGTCTAATAGGAAGTATAAGAAATAAAACATTGATTTCAAAATAAACAATGAAAACAAGGAGCCTAACTGCTCAATTACTTTACGTAAATAGTGAATATGTTTTTCTTAATATTAAGACCATAAAAATGTTTTTTATTAAGAAAACAAAATTTTTAAACAAAAATCATTTTTTCCCAAAAAAAATGTTCATTTATTTGTTTCAATATATAGCAGAGGTTTATTTAGTGATGTAACTGGTGTTATGAAAAATATAAATCGCGTTGATGAAAATCTAACTTAAGTGTATAGTATGCAGAATGTAACTTGTTGAAACAAGTCCAAATATAACCGAACATAGGAAGATGTAAGTCACGTGCCATATGTTTTTTTCTGTTTTAATAGCACGAGTTTATTTTGTGATGTAACAACTCGCGTTATGGAAATCTAACTTAAGTAGTGTATGTAAAATGTAAAATTGTTGAGGCAAATCCAAGTGTAACTCATGCATAGGAAGATGTAACTTGATCACAAGATGATGTAACTCTATATACTTCAAATGTAACTCCAGAAATTATCTATAAACATATCACACACATGTGAAAAATGTAAACCACAATATATATGAAGATGTAATCTCATATTTTATCAAATGTAAATCGAAATAAACAAATTTAATGTCTTGAAAACATTAAAAATATATAAAAGAAATAAGAAATATGTAGTATCTTATAGGAAAAAGTGTATGATTATGAAAATATACTACGTATATTACAATCAAGTGTATAATACAAAAGAATATTAAAGAAATAAAATTAGTGTATGAATGTGAAATATAATTATATACTTATTTTAATTAGATCAATATTTTTTTGTTATGAATTGATAAAATGAAAAAAATAAATTGAGTTGTAATTTAAGTTGAAGATAAAGTAAAGTGAAAGTGTAATTACACTCTTAGTATTTGATGGAGAAAGAAAAAGAATTGTAGAAAAAGAAAATAGAAAAGAAGAGGTAAAGAGAATAGAAGATACTATACGTACATGGAATGAAACAAAATAAATGACTAAATGGGATAAGTGGCTAACTATTTTGGGACGGAAATCTAAAGGGAAATTTAATTCGAAAAACTAAATGCCTATATTAAATTACTCATAATGGTTGTATTATAGCTAGGAAGTACATGGCCTCATCTTTAAATTCTGCATCAAAACTTTGTAATGGAAGCTGATAGTAATATACTACCTCTGTTCTTTTTTATTAGTCCTCTTAGGCTTTGACACGAGTTTTAATAATAAAGTAGTAGGGTAAATGATAAAGTAGGAAAGATGATATATTAAAAAGAGTAAAGTGATGATAAAGTAGGAAAGAGAGTGTATTAAGAAGAGTAAAGTGATGGTAAAGTAGAAAAGATAAAGTAGTTTGTAAAAAGTAAGTGAGGTAAAAGTAATAAAAGTGGGGGTATTTTCTCAAAAACTTTCCTTAAAGGGAAAGGAGGACAAATAAAAAAAAACATCCCAAAAAGGAAAGAAAGACTAATAAAAAAGAACGGAAGGAATATACGATAGTATATACTCCCTCCGTCCCAAAAACAACTTCCCACTTTCCTTAACTGGATGTCCCAAAATTAACTTCACAATTCAATATTTTCCTTATTTGGCAAATTATCTACATCAAAGAAGTGATAAACAGTGCCAAACAGTGTTTAAACAGTGCCAAACAGTGTTTAAACAGTGCCAAACAGTGTTTAAACAGTGCCAAACAGTGTTTAAACAGTGCAAAACAGTGCACTCTACAGTAAAGTCAAATTTATTTTCTAAAAGTGTGTGAAAGTCCAACTGAGAAGTTGTTTTGGAGACGGAGGGAGTAGAAATAATATTGAAAAATATTAACGACGATTATCGACGAAATCTCTCAAAAGATAAAGGTACATGACCATATTAGTGGTGGACTTGTTGCATGCCCGCTAGCTCAGGACCGGGATCGAGATCACACCGGTTTCATTTCTATTTTGTTTCATGCACATATATGCATATTTTTAACGTTTAGAATGCTTTTTGTGTGTGAAACTGCAGATATATTTGACTTATAAATAAGCCATTGTGCCGGCTGTTATACTCCGATCCTATCTCCCAATTATATAAAGTGTGGAAGAAAGTTAGTTTGGTTCGGTTCCGTTACTACAGCTCCCAGATGGTTGACGCCGTTTAGTGCTCCCCTATGTAAATGAGCGGGGAGGTCTCCATCCCAATTCATTCGCTAGGGTTGTGAGAGCCTTCCGCTCTTCTGCTCTTCCGCTATAGCTCTGTCCTGTGTCACGAGTTCCATGGAATCACTACTT